ATCTACATACCCAGAAAGATTAGATTATTTATAATCTGAGAACTTTATTTTCATTTGAGCCAGCCACTTAAGGCTCTATTTGCTTCCAATCCCTAAAAGCACCAAGAGATTAGTAAATGTCTAGGATGTCAAAACATTTCATCACTGCTAGCCCCGCCGTTGGCATTGATCAGTTTAAGGAGCTGTTTCTCTCGTGCAGTGAGCCAGACTCACAGACCCAGGGACATGAAACATTACATTTCTCTATTTTTTTCCCAAATGCATTCCCTCAAACATTAGTATTTGTTGTATTAAAAAGCTGTCAGGGACAGAATTGTCCGTCTTGACTTGGCTGTCCATCACAGGGGATTCTGTGCTCCAGGTCTCTTTCTCAGGTGACAGGTCCTGTTTTCTTTGAGGGATCTGTAGTCCCTTCTCAGTCCCAGTGGTGGACACGTGACTCAGGTTGAAACCAGTCACATCCCAGCTCCCTGGCCACAGTGATTGGTCAAAGGGAAGGACTGTCACATCAACTGGACCAAGTCCAGTGACCCGTGGGGTCTTTGCAAACCAAAAAGCCCACATCATTTGCCATGGAGTGCACACCTCATTGTGTGATGTGTGTCAAGAAACTGTTCCACAGGGTTCTTAATGGTTGGCTTTTCCAGAGGAGATTGCCGGCAGGTCAGCCACTTAGACCAACCAGTGACTCCTTGCAGGTGTTTTTGAAAGAGATTTATTCCTTGCTGGACTTGAGCCTGGCAGGAAGATGTGAGACTGAAGTCACAGAGGTCATATGTGGATCCAGACCCACAAGAGGGTGGGCACAGCATAAGTCAGCATGGCATATTGGAACCAAGAGACGGGCATTTTCTGAGCCCTTGAATCAAACCATGCCTTAAGTCAAACATCCCAGGCTGTGGGAGGATATGAGCCATTCTTTCTGTCCCCAGTTTGAATATGGTTATCTGACATTTGAAACTTTTTTTTAACTGGAAACTCAACAACTTTATTCATTGGAATACTTTAAATAACAAACACCTTCTAAGAAGTTCTGCTAGACTTTGATCTATTGTATTTGTGAAGAAAGATTGCTTGTAAAGTTTTCCTTTTTAAAAAAAAATATTACACTTAGCTTATTTACAAAATTGGAATACATTGTTTTTTCAGACCAGATTCTTCCAATTTCCCTCACCACCCCAGCCATCAAACTGTTCAACCTCATGGTTAATTCCTCCACTCACCCACCCCGCACATCCTCATTCCCTCTGCTTACACCCCCCCCAAAAAAAATATTTCTAATCAATACACTCTCAAAACAGAAAACTTACTTCTAAGTAATCGCTTCCTACATAATGAGATTTGGATTAAGCCTATGCTCAAGTCAGCAATGGAAAGCACCCAAATCTCTGGTAGAGTGTTTCTCTGTGGGCCATTGCCGTTAGGGGCTCTCCAGCAGCTTTTCAGAGGCCGTTTTGTCCATCTTTCTCCTGCAAAGCAACTAGTGGATTTGAACCGCATTCCTTTGGGTTGCCAGTGTAGTATTTTGAAAAGATATTGTCATGATGACTACCAAATCACAGGGTGGTGGTTCACATAGTAGAGGTTGATGATTGCGGCTCCGACTTCCTCCCCGTTTCCTCTGTAGAATCCATTTTGAGCAAGGCATATTGATGTCCCAGCTCGAATGATAATCATTGCCCTTCTTTGTACAACAGTTTGCTGTATTGAGATAACTTGTGGGTTGCTGTGATACTGAGAGCTATGCCCCCAGTTTGTCAGATGCCACAAACCCAAGGTGGACAGGTTTTAGTAAAGCTCCCAGATTAAGACAGACTAGGAAGCAGGCTTGGCCTATCCTCCCCAGAGCTGCCACTGGTGGGTCTGAACCTCCAGAGACGTGTGGCCGTTGGGTTAGCGGCACCGCTCACTGTGGCTTCTGCCCCAGAGCTCCCCGTCTCACCCGGCATACGGTAGTTACGATGGAGGACGGCAGGGAGGGAGAAGGACCATTGCCTTTTCTTCCTCACCACCAAGCCGAGGCCAAGGATTCCTCCTGTCACTTTCAGAGTATCATTTTCCTTCTGGACCCCTGGCAATCACTTCTGTCCCCATGTAGTGCATCAGTACCATGAGGGCGGGGACAGCTGTCCAGTCACTTGGTCTGTACCCCAGCATTCAGCGCACCGGTGCAGGGAGGGTTGTGAGAGCAGGCACTGGGGCTGAGGGACGAGTTCCTTGTTTTGCTGGCATCATTGTCCATATTGCTTTCTATCTTCTGGTAGTTAAGTACTATTACACATGTAATAATGTGTCCTTTAACACAGGACACCTTAATAAAAAGTGCATTGATGTGGTGGTAGTTGTTACGTGCCATTGAGTTGCCTGTGACTCATTGCAACCATACATAAAACAGCTCTGAAGCCTGGCCTGTGCTGAGCCAGTCTCACTGACTCCAGCACAACTACCTCCCCCCCCCCCCATTGCCCTAGTTACTCTATCAATCCATCTCCTCCCGAGTCTTCCTCTCTTGAGCTATCCCCTCCACTCTTCCAAGCATGATATCCTTCTCCAAGGACTGATCCCTCCTGGCCACGTGCCCAAAGTATGTGAGATGGAGCTTCAAAATGCTAGCCTCCAAGGAGAAACTTGGTTTCACCCTCTCTAAGACAGATCTGTTTGTTTTCTTGGTGGTCCATGGTATGTTCAAAACGCTTCTCCAGCACCACAACTCAAAAGCATCAATTCTTCTGTCATCCTTAGTCATTGTCCAGCTCTCTGATGCATAGCAAGTAATTGTGAAAACCATGGACTAAATCAGGCACACCTTAGTTTCTAAACTGACATCATTGCTTCTCAGTACTTTGGAAAGATCCCTGACAGCACATTTACCTAATACTATTTGGTTTTTTATTTCCGGACTCCTGGTGCCAAGAATGTTGATTATGTAGCAGAGCAAGCTGTAACTGTTAACAATCTCAGTCTCTTCTCCCCCAAGGAGATACAGGATGCCCTCTGCAAACAGAAGGTCCCTCCCAGCCTGCCACTGGAGTGGATGCCATCTGAACTTTGGTCTTGTTTTAAAATTAAGCTTACCCATTGTTATGTTGTTCAACACTTACATGTAAAGAAAACATAGCCTCATGAGATAGGTTGGGTTGTGGTTTTTTTTTATTATTGCCTTAAACTAAATAAAAATTATAGGAGGCCTAAGAAAGATGCCTTTTCACAGCGCTAAGCTGTGAGAGGACCTCTGCCTAAGCTTTCCTCTTTTTCAGAATTCATTTCCTCGTTTTCTTTCTGCATCCAGTTAAAAACAAAGGGCTATGGTCAACCATATTTTTCTTAGGAGAATGTCCAAGTTTCCCTCAAAACTCTTAAAGGAATCTGACCCATATGATCCCAATGGCTACAGCAATTCAACTCCTTTTGCTTTGATTCCATGCCCACCAAAAAAAGTCTCCTCTACAAAACAAAAAAATGCATTGCCAGTGCGTCAGCTTCCAATCCCAGCAGCCCCACAGGACAAAGTAGGACGATCCCGCAGGGTTTGTAAGACGGCAGATCTCTATAGGAGCCTCGTTTTCTTCCAGGAAGCAACTGGTGCATTCAAACTGCTGGCTTTTTCTAACTGTCTCAGCCACAGTTCCACTTTTTCCAGAACGTTCATGGACTCATGGAGGTCCATGTTAAAAAACCAAACGCTCTGCCTTTGAGTGTGATCATGACTCATGTTATTGTCACATGCAACTTCGAGCAAGCCAGTGAACAACAGCTCTAAGGCCTGTTCTATCCAAGGACCAACCACTTCACCTGACACACTGGAGCCGGCTGCTGCAGGCACTGTGTGAACCCTCTACCGTCCCAAGCATCATGTCCCTCTCCAAGGAGTAACCTCTCCTAGAAACATGCCCAGGGTATGTGAGACAAGAGCTGCATCATCTTGGCCTCCAAAGAGCATTGCTAAACTGTTATGGGAAGAGATGGCCTATCTTTTCCCACGGATTGGCTGGTGGATTTGAACTGGTGACCTTTTTGTTAACAGATGGATATATTGGGCACTATGTCAGCAGGACTCCTTCCTAAAAGTCAAGCCACCCAAAATATCTCACTGATAGTGTCCACATTGGCATCTGGCTTCTAACTCAGCCTCTTCTGTAAGTTGTTCTGGCAGGTCCCCCTCCCTGGGTCTGCTCAAGTGTTGGAAGTGGAAAAAACTGAGGGCCAGTCCAGTCATAGATGGTAAGTGTGTCTGTCTGGTGTAAGGTGGCCAACGAAGGACAGAACCCAGTGAAGGCCAAGAAAGACAGTTCATTGAGAAGACACTGCCAGGCTGGCTCTCAAGCAGAAGACCAGCCCCCACTAGAAGTTAGAGAGGGATTTTATATTTTCACTTACAGATGCTTCTTTTAAGATAGGAAAGTGGGCTGGGGTCTCAAAGAGCTCTTCCTGGGAAAGGGGGGTAGGGTAGTTTCACAGAGAGAAGCAGCACAGCTGCTGTTTGCTGTGATTGGATTCTCTCAGTAGCCATTCTCTGAAGTCCTAATACCTGGTATACCCCCCACTCTCTGAGGCCAGCAGTCATTGGGGGCCTGGCCTCTTGCCAGCAGTGTCTGCCAGGTGGTGGCAGGCCCAGCGGGTTGCTGGGGCAGGATGAAGAAGTCACTCAAGAAGTTAAGAGCAGTGCTGTTTTTAATGATTTTAGTCAGGAACATCTAGCTGTTGTGTGTGATGTTGATACAATTGCAAACAATAGCCTTTCTCTCCACAAAGACAAGTTGCAGAAGTACAGCCAAAGAGGAATGGGAGGAGACTTTAAAGCCCTCTGAATGCTCATAGCCTTGTTGCCATTTTCAAGGCTTCTTGTAAGCTTTCCCCCTAATTCCCCTACTTATCTATCAAGTTTCAGGAAGGTCGTGACCAAGAGGCTGTGGGAGGGACTTCTCGTTTCAGACTTGCATTGTGTGCGCGCTGCTGCTTCTCACTGTGCTCATCGCTGGTTATAAGAGGGAGCTGGCTTGTTAGGAGTTCTTCTGGGGAACCTTGACAGTGACCTGGAAGGGGGAACAGAGACAGTGTTAAGTCTCCATTCTCCCCCAGCTGCAGGGGCTGCATGCACCTGAGCAGAAGGGGTTCCCTGACTTGTGACCTCCCATGGGCTTTATCCAGTGTGAGGTCATACCCACACCCCACACCCCCCAGTGGTGCTGGGTGATCCTGTCTCCCAAAGCACTGACCAATGTCTGCAGACACTTTCTGGTTGCCACAACTGCTGGGCTAAGGCAGGGCATTGGGACAGCCCTAACGGCAGACCATGTGCCTGTCACAGTGACCACAGTGTGCCTTCTCTATGTCTGGCTGACTTTTTCTTGTGATTTGGGTAAACATTTACAGATCAAATTGATTTTCAATGAAATAACTGAAGACAGGTTCTGTTTTGTGAAACTGATTACTCTCCAAACACGGTAGCAGCACTTTTCCCCTCTCCCCCTTGTCTTTCCTGTTTCCACTCATCCTTTCCTCACCCCTCCTGCCTTCCCAGCTTTCTCCCTGTGCACATGCTGCCCTTCTGATCTTGTCCGGTAGGCTGCTCTAAGCAGTACAGACTGCCCTAGGGTTACTGTTCACCTCTCCCATCCTTTGGCTAAAAGCTGAGCCATGGGCATGAGTTGACTTCCTGATCTACAGAGTGTCTAAGGGCCTCAGTAATGGCTCTTTCTTCTCAGAGCTTATTATATTAGCCCTCCCCCCCCCAATTCTGAACAGCTGCCCCTCTCCTCTGGGCTGGCCCTGGACCTTTTCCATTCCTGGGAAAGGTGAGGCAGGCTGACTTCTCTTGTCCCCTCATGCCTGTGTTCTCTGGTTAATCGGTATATAATTAGTGCTCATTGGAAAGAGGAAAAGCTCTGTCATTCTGGTTTATACGTCCTCTGACAAATACGTCCTCTTCTCTCTATGTGTATATTGTTTTACAACTAGGCTCCTCAATTTTCTGTTTCTCACTTTCAGAGATGAGGGTTTTTCCTTATCACGTATTCTACAAAAAAAAAGTAAATCTTACAAACTGCCTAGTTACTCCCTGGGAACCCTGGTAGTGCTGTGGTTACGGCACATAGCTGCTAGGCTCCAAAGCTTGGCAGCTGGATCCCACCGGTCAGTGACTCCTGGGAAGACAACAGGCCATCTGCTTCTGTAAAGGTTACAGCCTTGGGACTTCCTGGGAGCGTCTGTCTACCCAGTGCCACGGGGCCACTGTGCACTAGGATCACCTGAGTGCCAGTGGGGTCACTTGTGGGTCTGGCTTTTTAGTTTCTTCGTGCTGTGAGTGGCCATCCTTTACCGGACATTTAGGTTTCACCGCCCTTCCCCAGCAGAGGCAGCGCTCCGATGGACATTTAGGTAAGGGACGTGCCCTTCATACTTCTGGTTCCCTTGTTTCTGAAGATGGAATTGCAGACCCAAGGCCGTGTGCACACCCACGGCCCTGGTAGCTGACTGCTGGCTCCTGCAGAAGCTCCTTGCTGCCTCAGCCACTCCATTTTCTTACCTCTCAAGTCTCATTGCCCCTGGTACATACCACCAAACCCCCTGCCAAGCCAGTTCCCAGCCACCAACAGAGAACTGCCCGTGCACTTTCCAAGGCTGTCATCGGTGCGGACACCGATGGCCTTCCCTTTCTTCCATGGAGTGACTCATGGTTCTGAGCCACCGACCTTTCACAGTTAGTGGAAAAACACACACAACCACGGTGCCACCAAACCCAGCAAAGGACTGTGCTGGTGCAACCAGTCTCTGAGCTCGGTCCGACAAGACAGGGCAGAGACGGGCTTCCTCCCCTGCCTTCACAGCTTCTGGGCTCAGACCAAGGAATTAGGATTAAATACTGACAGATGCTCGAGTGACCCAGATAAGGGTGGGGGCTGCCCACTCACAGTCTTCACTTCAGTGTAGGCCTGCAGACCATACTCCCCAAGCTCGCGGCCGTTCCCCGACATCTTGTAACCACCGAATGGGGACTGGGCCCCAAACACATCATAGCAGTTGATCCTGGAATCAGAAAGAGTGTTGAGTGTTGCTGGCTTGGTGACGTCACACTGTGCTCTCTTGGCTGAAATCTTTATGAGAACAGGAAATGTACAAACTGAAACAAACAAGTCCTTTCTTAGAATTTAAACTGAGATTCCTGAAGTATCACTTAGGAAGTATCTGTTACCACCCCCCACTGCTCCAGTTAGGCCCACAGCAGCAGCCAGCTGCAAGAGGGGGTTCCAGAGCCGGCCCCGTGAAGGGAGCTCTCACATCATCCTGCACGACATGCTCACAGAGCAGGGCTGGGAGCAAGCACACCACGTGACAGCACCCCATTTTAACCTCCTCTGTCTGTGGTACCTCCCAGTCCACAGCACACGACAAGACTTGATGCTTTGGAAAGGTGGTTTTGTAAAAGACTTAAAAATTTCCATCCAATTTCAAATTCAGCACTTAAAAATATTCAATCCAGTGGTGGTTTTGTACATTCAGAGTTGTAAAACCTGAGTCACTCCCTAATTTCAGAACATTCCCATCTCCACAAAGATAAACTCTGCAGCTGCTAGCAGCGTCCTCCAGCTCCCCCTGCCCCCAGAGAGCAGTCAGCTCTGTGTGTGGACCAGCCCGGTCTGGACGTCTCTCACAGAGGGCTTTACAGGGACCTGCTGGGGCTGGCTTCTTCGCTGAGCATCATGTTTTCAGGGACGACCCCATCATGGTACCAGGATTTCCTTTTCCTTGTAGCTGAAGGTGACTGTACACTCTGTTTACCCATTCAGATGCTGTTGCTGGACATTTGGGTTGTTGGCATGTTTGGCTACTGTAAACACTGCGGTGACCACTGGTGGACAAGCCTGAGTTTGAGTTCTCTGTTGTGCTCCTGGTATCTTCCCAGGAGTGGAGGTGCTGGGGCATCTGGTCCTTGTGTGTTTAGCTTTTTGAGGAAATGCTGAACATCCCCCCACACTGGCTCCCCTGGTCTCCATCCCCACCAGCCCTGAAGGTGTAGGCTCCTCTCTGTCCTCCACACTTGGGTGCTTTATTGTGGTGACCCTAGTGGCTGTAGTTAGTGTTCCGGAAGGACATACCCTCAGACTTGGTCTCCTGCCCAGGGTACGGCCTGTCTGCACCCCCAGCAAGAGCTGGAAGGTGAGGTGCAATGCCCGTTCTCTAGAAGGGATTCCTCTTCCGGAGGAGGCTGGGGTGGGAATGTTTAGACTATCAGTTGTACCCACCCCAGGAGAGACTGAGAACAGTGAACCCCATTCTGGAAGAGTGAGCACTGGGTTCCAGCGGACCTCGCTTCGTGGGATGCATGTGACGCTGGGGAGGGGGGCGTGGGGAGACTCTTACCACACAGTGCCGGCCTGGAGGGCTTGGGACAAGTAGTTGGCCTTGTCTAGGTCCTTTGTGAAGACTGCAGCAGCCAGCCCGTACTTGGAATTGTTGGCCCTCCCAACAACCTCCTCGATGGTCTTGAACTTCAGGACCTGCATCACTGGCCCGAAGATCTGCCGAGAAAGAGCAGGCGGGAGAACGTGCACGTGCAAGTGGGGCCATAGCATTTTCTCGGCACCGAGTAGCTCCGTGTCTTAATCCAGTGTGGGGACTGGAGGGAGCCTCAACTCCTGGGAGCCAAGGCCATGTCTTAGAAACCTCCGATCTCCAGGGTCTGCGAGGGCCTGATACCTAGTAGCCATTCAGTGACCATCAATGGGATGAATACAAGTGGAGTCACTGGCCTGAGCTCACAGTGAAGGCCCAAGAGAACATCAGGGGTCACGTCCTACGGCAGAGGTCAGCCCTTTAGGCTAATCCAATGCCCTGCTTACATGCAGGCCCCACAGAAGGACCAGACGACCTCAGTCCTAGACTCACCCCAAAGAGACCGTAGCAGGGTCCACTAAGTATCTGACCGTTCCTCCCAGGCAGTGGGGAGCCAAGGAGAGCTGGGATCCTACAGAAATGGCTAACAGCTTGTCCTAAAAGAAACTCTCGTGGTTCACTAAGAAGCTCTGCTCCAAACTCACTCAGCTTGAATCCACCAGCTGCCGTGGGAGAAAGACAGACAGTCTCCACCCATCTGATTAAGTTCATCTGAAAATCTGCTGGAGGGTCAGCTATGGGTCAGTTCTGACTCCACGGTACCCCACAACAAGAAGCAGCAGCACAGAGGCCAAGATCCTAAGTGGTACAGTTATTTAACACCCTCAGCTGCAAACCAGAAGACTGGCTGTTCTAGTCTCCCCAAAGGTGCCTCGGAATAAAGCATGGCCATTGGCCTCGGAAAAGTCAGTGAAAGACATTCTGACCATGGGGCAGACCTGTGACAGCTGGTCAAGCAGGAGCGAGGGTGTCAGACAAAGCCAGCAGATGGGTCAGTGTTAAGAGGCTGGCAAAAGTCAGCTCCCTCTCCTCTGAAGACCATTCCTGGGCCCTGGCCTTGAGCTCACCTCCTCCTTGGCGATGGTCATGCCGTCTTGCACGTCTCCAAACACGGTGGGCTGGAGGAAGTAGCCACGGTCAGCGGCAGGCCCACCCCCACACAGCAACTTAGCCCCTTCCTGCTTCCCGGACTGGATGTAGCCAAGGATCTTCTTGAACTGTTCCTCATCCACCTGTGGCAGGAGGAGCAGCATTAATTGGGACGCGATGCAGAGCCGGACCTGCTCAGGACCACACGTGACTGAGGTGGCAGAAACGCAAAGTCCCTGTAGGGAAGCCCCGCTGGCCAAGAAACCAAGAAAAAAAGGCTCCAGCTCAGATATAAGCCAAGAAATGACAATCAAACCCTTTGGTTTTTATAGAAATGTAAAACGCTGAGAAAACGCACTGGTGTCAGGAGTGTGGCGCTCACGCGCTGCTGGGAGGCTGAGCTTCAGCACGTTCAGCAAGTGGATCGATCATTAAAAAAAAAACCACCAGTCAAATGTTCACACCGCTGTTTCAGCAACACACTGTCGGATTCCATTTCTATGAAATGTCCAGAAAAGACACGTCCATGGAGGCAGGAGAAAAGGGGTACCTGAGGGGCTGGAGATGGGGATAAGGAGTGCTCAGGGGTAAGGGTTCTTTTTCTGTGATAAGGATATTCTGGGACTAGATAATGGTGAAGTACACAAGACTTTTAATATACCAAATGTCACTGAAGTTTATGCTTTGTGTGTGTGTGTGTGTGTATGTACCGTCAAATCAGATCTGACTAGTACAGGAGGAGATTGTCCCCCCTTTTTCCGGCAGAGCATCTGGTGGATTCGAACCGTGTGCCTCTGGGATTGTAGTTGCAGCTCCTTACCACTAGGCCACCAGAGCTCCCCTAAAGTCTATGCTTTTAAACAGTGAGTTGGATGGTATGTAAATGTTTGAACAGTCTGCTGTGGGAGTTCAGCAAGGAGGGTGTGCCTTCACCTCACAGACGCTGGACATGTTAGGGGAAGGTTGGTCCCCAGAGGACATCATGGGGGGGGGGAAGTTGACAGTTGGTGAAAAATGAGGTAGAGCCCCAATGAGACAGACTGACAGAGAGACTACAGTCTGGTCCGACACGCTTGTGAGGGAGGCGCAGCGACAGGCAAGGGCTGAGCTCTCGGACGTGGGCCTGTTAGAACTTGGGAACCAGCTCCAGGGCAGCGAACTCCAGCACAGTTTTAATGAGTTCAAATTGATGAGAAATCCCTCCCCTCGCCCACCCCATGGCACTTGTTGGGTACGTGTGTGTCGTCCTAGCCGTTTAATGGATGGCCAGCACCCAAGAATCAACCCTTTTTTTGCACAGATGCTCAAGGACTCCTGCAGCATGTGCATTATGGCCTGACTGCAGGTACCACATCCGCACCTTGCAGCCGCCTGAGTCAGGAGGAGTGTGCAGGGCCCCACGGCTCATCACACAGCTCGTCAATGGCAGCGCCTCCGCTGCCTCTGCTGTTACAGGCTTACCTGCGGCCCCTGCTCGGTCTTGCTGTCAAAGGGGTTCCCAACCACGCGGGCCTTGGCCCGGGCCACGCTGCGCTCCAAAAACTCTGCATACACATCCTCCTGCACGTAGGTCCGGGAGCCAGCGCAGCAGCACTGGCCCTGGTTGAAGAACAGGGCAAAGTGGGCCTGCTCCACGGCCCAGTCCACTGCGAAACAGGGCAGACGGGCTGTGTGAGTAGAGACCCCAGGAGCAGGAGGAGAAGGTGCCTCATGCAATCAGACACCACGCGGCTCAGCCAGCTGGACTCCAGAGAGGATGGAGGCTGGGGAGAGGCTCAGCCTGGTGGCCAGCTGAGGGCCACGCTTGAGGTCGGGGCTTTGTCTGAGGCCCCAGGGGCAGGGTCAGTTAGGAGCAGATGGCGAGGACCACAGGAGTGCATGTGAAACCAGGACATGGACCCCCAGCCACCCCTCTGCCCCGAAGAGCTTACTGTCAGCATCAGACATGATGATGTTGGGGCTCTTGCCCCCCAACTCCAGGGTCACTCTCTTGAGGTTGCTGTCCCCTGCCGCCACCTGGATAAGGCGGCCAACCTTGGGGAAGCAGAAACAGGCATGCTACCACTGTGTGCATGGTCACCTGTGTGTGGGCGCGTCTGAGGGCTAAACGCTCTCAGAGGACACAAACTATGAGTCCTCCAACGTCGGAAAGCAGCTGCCTGACAAGAGCCTGGAGCTCTCCACGGTCCGGCCCGCCCCAGCCGTGGCTGCACTGCGTGAGGAGACCCTCAGATGCAGTGACTGCAGTCGGAGAAGTGGGCACTCCATGGGACAGGCCCAGAGCCCGATGCTGGATGCATGCCAGGGCCGGTCCTCGTGTGGCCCTCACCTGGCACCACAGCAGGTAGCTCTGGCTTTGTGAGGTCTAAATGGCCATGGGACGCTGGCCCTCCCCATGAACATCCAGCACACAGCTCAGCTGCACTGTCGCTCCTGGCACAGACAGTGACCTGGCATCAACCACTTGGAGGCAAATCCCTGGAGCACAAATTCCACACCCAGAAGCAACCATGAGTGCTTCCCTCTACGGACAGGGGACCTCAAGACCCTCAGGATGTCTCACCTCAGTGGAGCCTGTGAACGCCACCTTGTCCACATCCTTGTGAGAAGCAATGGCCGCCCCGGCCGTAGGGCCATATCCAGGAATAATGTTGACCACGCCAGGGGGGAAGCCAGCCTGCAGACAAGCAGCAAGGGCACTGGTTGAGTCCTTCTCTAGCCAGTGGGACACACTGGGGTGAGGGCAGGGGAAAGCCATCCCCTCTTGGAGACTTGGTTAAGGTCTCGTGTTCCCTGGTAGCCAAACATCTCTGCACCAGTTACCGTGAGGCTGTGGTGATGTAGGTTGGGTCCTAACTCAATGGTGGTGCCCATGAAGTGGAGGGAGATAGGGAGACCAACCCAAAGGAAGACAGAGGCTGGAGTGATGGTGACTGCAGGCTAGTACGCCAGACACTGGGAAGACCAAGGAGGGAAGCTTCCCGTGAGTGTCGGACACAGCTCAGCACCTGCCAGCAGCAGGTTGGGTTGTTCGAAGCCGCCTGGTTTGGGCCCTTTGTCGCAGTAGCCCTCAGAGACTGAGGCGGCGAAGGCAAGCTCACGCAGGGGCAGGTTTTTTAGGGGACTGTGGAAGAGCTCTAATAGCAGGGACCACAGCCCATTCCTTGGGGTCCCTGTGAATGCTGTCCCTCCCCCATGACATTCATTTAGAACAATGGCTTTTGTTCTTAGCAGGAGAGCCAAGGTAGGAAACAGGTAAGGAGAATATGGTCACGGGGGAGGTCAGTCCCTCCTCCGCTCCCAACCCCGCTCAAGGCCTCTCCTCGGACACCGCCACGAAGATGCTGAGAAGTTAAGACAAGAAGTGACGCACCTCCTTGATCAGATTGGCCACGTAGAGGGCGGTGAGCGGAGTCTGTTCGGCTACCTTCATCACAACCACGTTGCCAGTTGCCAGGGCGGGGCCCAGCTTCCAGGCCTGCATCAGGAGTGGGAAGTTCCACTGCAATACACAGAGCCCCCCCGCGGGGCCAAGCCCCCTCAGAGAGCCACACTGGCCAGCAGAAAGGGGCACCTCGAAGAGTGAATGGACCGACCCCACCCCCACCCCGTGTTCTCTCCACAACTTAAGAAAGTCTCACCAGGCGAGAGGCAGGTGGCTGATAAGAGCAACAGAAGTTGATACTTCCTAGGTACCTGACCCGATGCTGGGCCCCTATCAGGCACCACACCGAATCCTTCCCCCCTTCATGCCCATTTCCCGGAGGAGGACACTGAGGTCACAAATGGCAGGGCTGGGACTGAGCTTGCGGTGGCTTCTCAAAGCCTGCCTTCCTCCCCTCCATCCTTGCTCCTTCGGGCATCAGCCCTCAGCGGTGACCCTTCTCCCCCGTGAGCCTCTCAGAGCCCCGCGCTCACCGGGATGATCTGGCCGCACACTCCAACGGGCTCGTGGCGCGTGTAGCTGAAGAAGTCCCCGTCGATGGGGATGGTCTTCCCGTGGTACTTATCAGCCCAGCCTGCATAATACCTTCAACGAAGGAAAAGGACAAGCAGCTCAATCAATGACTATTAAGGAAGCTGCAAGCTCTGAAACGGGGAGAAAAACACCCTAAACTGGTCTAATTGAGACTGTCTAACAATCACCCTGACATCTGGCTTATTTCCCAGAAAGACTTAACCCAGCACTGTCAGAGTAGATAACCACCAGGCTTCAGAGCCATGGGGAGGCTGCTAGCATCCCAGATTCTGGGTGGCCACTTCTGACCCCCGCAGCCCGACATTCTGGGCACAGATGCCCAGGTATCCCTATGCTAGTAAACACCCCAATGATTGAAACATGAACCCTAACTTAGTCCAGCTAATCCACAGACCAGCATCTGCACTTTTGGGTTCAATCTGGGGGCAAAGCGCGGCCCCACAAACACATCAGCAGTTCCTGTGTGGAGCACCCTCCAGTTACAGAGCGAACCCCGTGAAGAGCTCGTGATCCAGACCATCGACCCCAGAGCCGGTGCTGACAACCTGATGTGTGACAATGAAATGCGGCCCCTGCACCATCCTGCCTGTCTCCAGCCGAGTCTACTGTTGTCGAATCCACACACAGCTGTGGACCCTCCGCCCTGGGGCTCACTTCCCAGGGCTGCACTGGACCATGTTCTGGCGGGACCCAAAGGGCGCATTGTGGCTGGTTCTCTGAAGCAGATTGCCAGGCCTTTTTCCCTGGTCTGTCTGAATCTGGGAACTACTGAACCCTGCCCACATGGGTGACCCTGTTGGTATTCCAAATACTGGTAGTACAGCTCTTGCCACCACAGCAACACAAAGGTACATATGGACAGACAGTCTAGACAGAGGATCTAGACAGAGAAAGGGACATCACTTCCCCAAAACTAAACCCAAACTCCCTACTATCTAGTCAATTCCAACTTCTGGCAACTGCGATTGAGCTTCAGGGCTGCCAGTCCTAATGGGCACAGCAGTCTGTGGACCCCCCACCCCCAGACTGCATCACGAGAGCCCCGCAGAGCCGGGGTAGAAACAGCAGCTGTGCTTTTAGAGGATGTAGGGTTGATGTTTTCAGAGAGATGAAGGATGCAAGAGGAAGACGTCTGGATAGGGAGTGGCGCCTGGCACAGTCAGCCCCAGGCCCGAGCTCGTCTCAGTCTGGATGGCGAGCTCAGGTCAGAGGAAAGCTGCCGAGGAGCGGCCACACTCAGCCTGTGCGCTGAGAGCGTCGTTGCTCGCTTCCTTCCAGACCCGCTGTGATCAGCACCGTTTCTTTGTCAGTGAAGTAGCACGAGGCACACTGCTTAGACTCGGGAAGGCCTGTGGCTCCCTCCCTCAGGGGGCCTCACCCAGCAGGGTGACTGGCAGCGGTGCTACTGACATTGGTCATTTCTGTCGCTACTGAGGTGATTCTGAACAGAGAGGCCCCAGAAGGTGTCTAAGACTGTAGGATCTTTATAAAAAGATCGCCTGTCTTCCTCCTGCAGACCCACTGGCAGCTTTCAACCGTGGACCTTCACAGTTGACAGCCCAGCATTTAACAGCCAAACGTGAAACCCAGAAACCACCATCAAGCCACGGCTGACTCATAGCCGCCGTGTAGAAGAGAGTAGGCCAGTCCAGCAGGACCTCCGAGTCGGCTGCCCTCCTGGAAGCTGACCATTCTACCTTCTCCTCTGGAAAGACTGGCACTTTCCAATGCCTGCAAGTCCATTTCCACTCATGGGCGCCCTTTACGATAGAGTCGAGCTGCCCTCAGCACTCCCACGACCTCAGTCGTGAGAGAGGCAGACTGTCTCATCTTTCTCCCATGAAGTGGCTGCTGGGTTCGAACCGTCAGTCTCTTGGTTAGTGCCTTAGCCACTGTGCCACCAGAGCAGCCTGGCTGGCACTAAGGGCTCGTGGGAAGCTGTCCTGTGGACTCTGGTTGTTTAGCACCACTGGCCTCTGTCCACCAGCTGTGATACCAAATTCACAGCCTCCTGTCCCGGCTGTTTCCTGGGAGAGGACAACTCTCCTCCACCACCTGGGTGCACACAGATACTGGGGGAACAGCCTTTTTTTCGTTCAGTGATCTGTCCACTCCAGCCGCACGGCTCTGACTCAAGGCCAGACACTCAGCGTCCCTCTGCCGAGAATCTGGCAGCATTATGGGTGGGGATCACAGACCCAGAGGCCAGGGCAGGCTGTACAGGCAGCCGCGTGCCAACATGAGCACTGGTACAGGGGCAGCGGGGCTGGAGGCGGGCAAAGCAGAAAGGCGGGAAGGGCAGCAGTCAGTGAGAAAGGCTGAGCTCAACCCTCCAAGCCCCAGTCTCCCTGTATCACGTGAGTACATCTATGTCCCTTGTAATCCCAAGGGCTCTAAGCCCTGCTTCTCACAATAGAAAATAATGAAAATAGATCATAAAATGGAAACAGAAAAGCAAAAGAGAATCAACAAGATCAGAAACAAGTTGGTAAGCTTTTAGCTAGATGAAGTAACAAAGAGAAGACACCAATTACTAAAATCAAAAGTGATCAAACAAAACATTTCTGAGTAAGCAATCGCTATCAGACCTGAGACTGAAAGAGAAGAGCTTGTCCAGCTCCCCGGGACTTGGGCTTTTGCCTGTCTGTGTCTAGATGTGTCCCTCCAGCCCCACCCTCACCTCTCTGGCACCAGAGAGTCCTGAGCCCGTACCGGAGACACTTGACGACCATGTCCAGGTCCACCAGGTAGGATATGACATAGGGCTTGCCATTGTCCAGAGTCTCCAGGGCCTGAGAAGAGAGAGCAGGGTCAGCACAGCATTCTGGGAAGGGAGGGACAGGGGAGACGGGCTGGTGAGCACCATCTAGATGTGGACGGAGAAGCTCGTGGGGGCTACAAGTGTCGCTGGCTTCTGGGCCGCTGCTCCTCCGTCTCCAAGGCAGAGGGAAGAGACAGGTACATTGACACCTCTTCCATCACCTCACAGGCTGGTTTCTGAGTTTCTGTATCACACCTGGGTGCTGAGAATCCAGTGAGGAACCTTGTTATTGACTGTGTCCCCACAAATTAGTGTGTTTGTGCATACAAAGCCCGTGTAGACAGCACATACACACAGAATGTGAGAAGTGCTCCTAGGAAGCTGATGTGTAATGGAAGGAGGGGTGCTGTATGGTTTGCAGTGGACAGCTCCTTCCATATTGATGAAATGTGTCCTGTGTGGAAGACCTAGCTGTCCGTAAGTCTCTCCTTTTTGGCCATGTTAATGAGATCTTGCCAGGGAAGTTGTTACTGTGTGCCATAAGTCAGAACCAACTGAGAGCTGACCCCGCAGCAGGTGTTCAGAGGGAGTGAGCCCCGTGGGAGGAGACTGCCCATCTCTCTACCACAGAGCAGGGAGCACTGGTGGCTCAGTGGAAGGAGCTGTGGGGCCAACCCAAGGACCCACGGTTCAAATCCACCAGCTGCTCTGTGAGGAAAGGTGCCAGAGGAGGGAGGGTCCTAAACATAAAGACCACTGAGTTCTACATCAATAGCACACGAGACACAGACACACACAGGTGCCATCCGGGGTGCCAGCTGCAAGCGTAGGCTTGCCAAGGTTGATTGCCGTCACCAGAACTGAAGATTGCTGAGCATAGCCCGTCGGCACACACCTGTAGGAGGTGGCTGGGCAGAAAGAAGGTCCAAATGATGGCAGAGGAAGGGCACCTAGGCAGAGGGAACGGCATGGGCACCTGCAGGAGGAGGCCTGGCCCCAGGAGCCCGAGAGAAAGCTGGAGGGCTAGGTCCAACAGGATGCAGGCCCCCACCAGACCGGCAGGCCAGGACACCAGCTCCCGGGAGCAGGACCTTGTCCCAAGGATACACAGTGCCATGGAAGGTGTATGGGGGATTGCCATGGTGCATTTACATTCTAGAAGGATCACCTTGGCTGCTATGTGCAGGGGGGGTCAGGACAGGGCCAGGGTTACGTCCCTCTCAGATTCCCTCTGTCCCATACAGTCAGGTGGACACCATGCAGGGACACATCTGATCCTTGGGCTCACTCCCTCAAAGACCTCCCCAGCACGGCTCCTCTACCCTCTGGATCAGTCTCCTCGTTTTTTAGCCAGACCCTCCTACATCCAGGGGCCGGGGAGGTTCTTCTGGTTGGACCACTCTCCACCCTGCTGCCCCGTCACCGGTCACTGCAGCCTCATGGCCCTCAGAGTGCTCTGAGCCATTGGCTCCAGAGAGGAGCTGGCCGAGGACTCACCGCCAGGTAGGTCCGGTCCCGCTCGATCAGATCCGCCAGGCGGTTCAGCAGCCGGCCCCTCTCAGATGCGTCCATCCGGCGCCAGGGCGAGCCCAGCTGGAACGCAGCCCGGGCGGCCTTCACTGCCAGGTCCACGTCTTCCTGAAAAACACCCAGGGGGAAAGCAGGCCTTCTCCTCCGTAAACACCTCCAGGTGCCAGGCATCCCAAGGCCTCAGGCCAGAGTGACCACCAATGCAGGGAGCTCTGGGAGGGCCTGTCTACATGCCTCCTGGCCTGGAGGGTCCTGCTTGGAAGCTCAGACTCCAGGGACAGCACTGGACCTCCTCTGCCCTCAGTGTCATAACAGAAATGGGGACCCTGACTGCCTCCATTTCTGTTTTAATTCAATCTCTCCCAAAGAGTCTCAGAGAGAGAGGCCCCTGGGGCCACTGCTCGGATCAGGCCCTTTTCGCTCCTAAGAAAGGAAGCCCAGCAGAATACACTACTCTCTGTGATGACGGGCATGTTCTAATAAACCAGGTTTGAGAGCCTCCCTCTCCCTGAGGAAGCAGGAAGGGAAACACAGCAGCTCTGTTCATACAGAGAAGTGTTCAGGGAGGCGGGAGGCACAGCGTTCACTGATATCAAACACACTGGCCAGCAGTTACCTAGAAAAAGCCAAATACTCCTTCAGCAAAGACCTAGTTCTGCAAGAAGGTGGAAGATTCTTGAATTGTTTCTAATCCCTTTTCTATTAAAAAAGGAACACTTGAACTGAGCTTATAAAACACAATTAATCCCATAAACACCATAATCATGTATAATTCCCACAAGATCTGCTACAGCCTCTGAGCTAGATTACAGGAGACTCAAATCCTGCCCAACAGGACTTCTTCCATGATCGCTACCAAACTGACCTTCACATGTCTGGAGAAGAGACTGGATCAGACCTCCCCAGAGTCACTTCTAAATTACAAACTCACAGCCATGTGGGTTATGAATCTTGTACCTCTGTGTACAGCGAACAGTACTGTCCATTCGTGTACTGGAGTCCTTAAACTGTTAACAACATGTAAGGTGGTCAAATTAAAACCACAAAACGATATAGAATGGGGGGAAAGTATTAAACCATCCTACTGGTGATGATTATGCAACCTCAATGTCATTCATATCACTGAATTACACACATTAACTGCTGAAATGATGTTATGTATGCTTTGTATTTTAATAAACTAAAAACACCATCCTTGCCCATCCTGGAGCTGCCTTCACAGCTCCTGGGTGAGTAAAGGGCTCTCACCTTATCCCCTTCCGCCACCTGACAGATGACCTCTCCATTGGAGGGGTTGATGGTGGGGAATGTTTTCTTGCTGACGGCATCTCGCCACTCATTGTTTATGAAGATCTACAGAGAGAAGAAAAAAAAAGATTGTCTTGGTAAACTGACAACAGGCCCACCAGGGATGCATAAACAAACACAGAGAAGGAAACCTCCAGAGAGAAAAGGTGGGTGCGCCGCAGAGGGGGGCATCCTGGGATTGACAGCACAGGCCTTGGAGGCAGTCCAGTCCGAGTGCCCACTCGGCCTCTCTAGACCAAGTGGCCCCTGTCGAGCCACTTGACCTTTTGGAGCATTGTGTTACTGTCTCTGAGAAGGGAACAGGTCTCCACCTGGTCCAGTCATCTAGGGCTCAATGACAGACACAAAGGCTTGACGCAAAGTGTGCCTGACGTGAGGCTTGGCTGAGCCCCACGGGCCTCGGCCCTCTCAGGTGCAGGCTTGGCCTGGGCTCCTCTGAAGACACGATGGGGTAGGGTTGTAGGATCACGTCTACACCTCGGGGGCCGACAGGCAGTTAGCTTCCTCTCCAAGTGCTCGGGTTTCCTGACAGCACAAGGCTTCCTACGTGGCAGAGAGTTGTCACAGAAAGGGCTCCCAGAGACCCAGCAGAGCCTGAAAGACTTCCTGAGAGCTAGAGACTGGACCGGCTGACTCCACTGCCCATGGGGATGACCAGCGGAGGAAGGGGCACCTGTTTACTCTGAAACTCCATCCCAGGGTGTTGCTGTGCAGACTCAAGCACAGTGGGGCCAGAAGGTCGGCTGGGATGCTCGAGGAAGGCCTCTCTCAGGAGCACTGCCCCAAATGACGCAAAGAGGCGGCCACCAGTGACAAAGGACGAGTGGTGCAGGCAGCAGGGACAGCAAGAGCAGAGATCCCGGGACAAGGAGAGTGGGTACATTGAGGGAAGACTAGGGATAGCCAAGTCCCTGCTGAACCAGGACGTGCAGGAGGCCGCAGGGCAGGGTGGGTCTGCAAAGAAGCCCTCAGGAAGGCGGCTGGCTCAGAATTTCAGACCAATTTGCGTGTTTACAGTGGAGTAAAGACAGCTGCCAGGGCTGGGGAGACTTTGCTGGTCACTGCTATTCTGACCTGGTGATGGCCATCATGAGGTTTTACACTCGTCCAGGAGACCAAAGCTCTGGTGGCCTGGCGGTCAGAAACTGCTCTGCAGTCACAAAGGCGTGTGGTCCAAGCCCATCAGCTGGAAGAAGGCTGGGCAATCTCCTGCCATGCAACGTACTGGCTCTGAAAACACCCTGGAGGGTCAGCTCTGGGTCGGTACCAAAAGCAGCATAGGTGGCACCAGGTGGTGAGGGTCAAGCTAACGAAAAGGTCAGTGGTTTGAGATGCTCAGCTGCTCCGCAGGAGAAATACGGGCAGTCTCCTGCCATAGAGACTTCATCAGCCCCGGGAGATTCAGGGGTGGCAGCCAAGTCAGAATCCACGTGACAGCACTGAGCTGTCCTGGAGTGAACAGCTCAAGGTCGGGAGATGGGAGCAAACTGCCTCCTCTTCTGAGAAGGGCTCCTTGCAGCTTAAGGAGGAGTGGGGTTTGCTGTCCGCTCCCCAGGCCCTTGGCAGGGGAGGGGGTCCTCAGGAGACACAGATCTCCCAGCAGCCTGCTCTCCTTGGGATTGGACAGCTGGCGTCTCAAGGCCAAGTCCAGCAAGCGAGGGGAGACCCCACGGCCTGACCCTGGCTGAGGACTCAGGGGGGCCATGTGCAGTCCCCAGGAGCCAGGGGCCGAGCATCACAAGGCCAAGTCATCAGCTCAGTGCTGGACGCAGGCCAGTGGCTTAGGCGGGACTGCCCAGTGACCACAAGCTGGGGGTTGCCGGCTCTTCCAGCGCCTGCTTGTGTCACTTCTAGCTGGTTGGCTGTTAACGGAAAGGTCTGCAGTTTGCAGCCATCACGGGAAGGACGGGACAGGCAGCTCCCGTAAAGCCTGGGTAACCTGGCGAGGAGGCCTGTCCTCCAGGGTCACTGCGGATCAGAACCGACTGGCCAGTAGTGGGTGGATGTCCCGGGAAATCTCCAAGTCTGGGCAAGAACAGGGCCTTCCACAGAGAGCAGGGTGAAGGGTCAGTGTGGAAGCACACCTATTTGTCCCCCAAGAAGGCGGGAGCCGTGGGGCACGAGGTCAGGGCCAGGGCAGCAGGAGAGGCCGTTGTGTAAGATGTGGCGTTGTGTAAGATGTGGCTGGTGGCTTTCCCAGGCTCGAATTCTTCATCTCCAAGCACCCCTGATCCCTGCTCCCCACCTGAGCCCCCGGATAAAACAATGGTGTGGGGAAACATTAACCTAGACTCTTTTTGAAATCCCTGGTAGAATGGTTTCAAATGAGTTGGTTGATCATTAATCTTTAGGGAAATGTCACTTTATTTCTTCCTGCAGGAAGGCTACGGGATTAGCTCAAGGGCGGTGACCATCACTAACATACTTAACCATACTTAACCCTTAGCGATGAACCAATTCTCCAGCTGTGTAAACACCTCCTCTGTGTAGTTCCAGGATCTTTTCATCACCCCAACCCATTAAAAGCAAATCCCACACCATTACCTGTCACTTCTCCTCTCCAGCAGCCCCCGGTAAACAAGTCAGTGGTGTTAAGTACATTCTCCACACTGTGTAAACACCACTAGATAGAGTCCAGTTTCAGAATATTTTCATCATCTAATGCCATTAATTGGGGTAATTGGGGTGGGTGAAAAGGAGATGGTGAAATTGGCACAGGACAGAGCAGGGTTTAGGGCTGCAGTACGTAGGGTCGCTATGAGTCGCAAGCGACTCGACGGCACATAACAACAACGCCATTAAAAAGGAAACCCCACACCATCACCTGTGCCCCCTCCTGTCTCCAGCAGGCCTGGCAGCTGCCAGTTTCTCTCTCTGGACTTGCCTCCGGGGCCCCTTCTGTCAGGGGTCTGTCACTCGCTGTGTTCCCGAGGTTCACACGCAGCAGGTAGAAGAACCTGCCCTCCTTTCAGGGCTCCATAGAACTCCAGGTGTGTGGGTACCAGCCTGTGGTCATCTGTCCACTTGCTGAGGGACAGTTAGGCGATTTTGCCTTGTGCTATTGTCAGCAGCATGAGAATGAACATCCCCTGCCAACATTGGTTGGAGTCTCTTCCATTTGGGGGGCGCATGCCTAGGAAACTGTCACAGGGTCACCTTACACCTAATTGTTTTAAGGAACCATCACGCTGATCGTGGCTGGACCATTTTCGGTCCTTATCAACACCGTCAAACCAAGTATCTACACGCGCCGCCTTCAGTCCTCTCAGGGAGACTGTGGGGCAGAACAAAAGGCCCCTCGGGTGCCCGGGGCCACAGTCTCCATGGAGTTAGGCTGCCCTTCCGCCAGGGACAGCCAGTTCGTGTCTCAGGCTAGCGACATGAATGCTTTAACCACAGCGCTGCCAGGACTCCACAGCCTGTGTGGTGCCCGTTCAGAGCCCCGCCGTGGGTGGCTTTGCTCCCCTGCGGCCGTCTGAGCGGGGTGGGGGTATCTCCTCGTGGTTCTGACAGGCGCTCCCCCGACGCCTGGTGATACTGTACCTTTCCATGGGCCTGTCGGCTGACTCATCCTCTCTAGGGGGACTCCCAGGGTTGTGGGGTGCAGGGGGAGTCCCGAGAACACCTGAGAAGGGCCTGGCACACACCGACTGCCCCTGTGGTCATCCTGCTGCTCTCAGCCTCTTCTCCCCCTACCCACGGCCACTGCACATTCAGTCAATTAGGTTCAAGGTCTAGCATGTGGCTGGTGGGGGGCAGACCTGGGCCCCCCACACACCAACCAGGAGGAAATCCACTGTGTGTCAGGGAAACAGCTCTTTACCGGCTGTCACTCTGGGACAGTCTCCTGCCAGGAACTTTATTTTCCCAGATTATTCCCACTGAACCCTCACAGCAAACCTAGGAGAAGCACTTCATCCTCTCAGAGGAGGACACTGAGGCACAGAGAGGCCGAGCCACCTACTGGAGGTCACATGGCTTGAGGGACAGAGGCAGGGTTTGAACACAGGACTTTGTGCCATCCAGGCCTGTGCTCTGCCAGCAGCTCCTCCAATCCCACCATCTGTCACCCCCTGGGACGGGCTGCATGGGAAGCTCCATCTCTCTGTGGACACTCATTTTTATTCTGTGTGGTGTCCTGGGTTCAAATCCCAGCTCTGCCCTATTCAGGCTGTTCTCTGAAGCCTCATCCCCCAGGAAGCCGATGTGAGGACCATGTACAGCATAGCATGCAGGCCCCTAAACCAGGCCCTCAGCCCAGGGTCTCAGAACACAGCCCTGCAACAGTCCTCCAGATCCTGTCTCTGGGAAAGGGGCCAGTGTTTTTCGCAAGCCAGCAAACTAAACAGCTTTCACTTCTTATTTTGCAAAGATAAGAAAGCAGGAAAGCAGCAGACCAGGGACTGTGTGGCCTTCCTCCCCCACACCCTCCTCCCAGAACACAAAGAGCTAGGACTCCAGAAAGGCCTCTTAAAAGGTCCCTATTTGCCTTTCAAAACCCAGCATTTGCAGGGAGGTTGACCTGCGGGCAGGAGCTCTGGTGTCAGGGGACAGTACTGGCAATCTGCCTCTTCAACCACTTGGTCTTGGTGACTACTCCCCACCAGGGCACTCGGCTTTGGCTTTGCTGGTGATCTTCCAGACAAGGTGTCTGCTTTTAAATGGTGAGTGTGCAGTTACCACTCGTAGCTGCCCCTCTGGAAGGTTCTCAGAGACTGTGAGCCACACAGGAGGAGAATGCCCATCTTTTGCTCTCGGATCAGGTGGTGGATTCAAATTCAAAGCACCTGCCTTTGGGTCGGCAGAGAAATCCCTTACCCACTGGGACAGCTCGATCACCATTGTCATTGTTGCTGTTCTGTGCTGTCAAGTCGGGACCAACTCATAGCTGACCCTCTGGTGGGTTTTCAGAGGCAGAGAATTGCATCTTTCTCTCACCATGCGGCTTGTGGATTTGAACCTGAGGCTTGTGTTTTGCCAGCACAATTCCTAAGCCACTAGAGCTCCCTTTTAAATGGTGAGTAGACTGAATTTTACACAACCCA